ATCGCTTTTCCAACTAAACCGTTTTGTTACCTGCCATTGTCCATAAGGTATTGTTGAAATATGCAGACGGCCTAGTCTCGGGGGTGCAACAACCGACCGCAGCCTCATTAACTAAGTTAAAAGCCTAGCTGGAGAGCTTTGTTTTATGATCCAGAGCTCGCTTTTTATTGTTAAATGCATCAAAATGCAATAATGTCATCTTCTTTCTACTTAAACCACTTGCTTAACAGCAACTTCCTATGGAATATCTCGAACTTCACATAGGTGACGAGAATTTGCAGTCCAGATTGCCGGTGAAGTACCTAGGGGTAACACACATTCGTGCTCTTTCCTAATCACTTCCCCTTAATAAACTTTACACAAAGTTGCAGTGGCTTTCTTTCTAGCCCCTTCGTTTCTGACCCTCCTCTGACCCCGCCACTTAATTCCGGGATTTATCACCGCATATATCTTAGCACTTTCGACCTATTGCTCCACTGTGATATTTCCTGGTTCCTTAAGGAAGCACTTCAAAATCTTGGGTACGTCACTGGCGCAACAATCTAGGTGTAGTGGAATTCCCAAGTCGACCTTTGTTGAGATTCTTGTGTCCACTCACACCACTTGCTACATATGACTTGCTTCGAGAATACGTGCGGCTACAAGTCACCCACTTCATGGCGTACTGTTTGAGAATGCATCAACATCTTCAACCAGACAAAAGTATTAATCCATTTTTACCCGCACAAAGGCTTATCACTCATCCGTTATTCCATACCTGGCAGGTATTTGGAAAGACCAGACATCAGGCGTTCTGGAGTTTAAAAACAAAATTCATTATAACCAAACAGTTGTTTATGCCACTTATCAATCGAGTTGTGTATTTACCGCTTTATTGCTTTTACTATGCTGAAAGCTTGTGGGTAACAGCTGAATATTCACCCTTATGGATGCATAAAGCACTCTCTTGAAAAGAAAATTGAATTGAAGTCCAGACTTATCACAGTCACAACACATCTCGGAAAGATGGTGAAAGCGATTGAACGCGCTAGTGCACCGAGTTTGGCTAACTTTAAAGCATCAAACACACACAATGGGAAATGAAGATTTAATCAATAGGTTTGGCAACCTCATGGATTAAATACAGTACAGAGGTAAGGAAGACTGCAGAAAAGGCTAACTGGAATGAGTGAAAAAATACAGGATCTCTTCTGTTAAACCCAAACGTTTGCGTTACGGGAATGGTGTACGAAATTGTGATTCTTGATAGACCAGACAACGAAAGCCGTGTGAAGAGGGTACTAGAATGTCACTGATTAGAGAAAAGGTGAGTAAGCTTGTTTCTAGTCGTTCGTCTTTGGTCAAATATAGCCACATTTAAGGGGTATTGAACAACTGCGCAAGTAGGAAGATGACGATTCGCTGGATAGAAATGTCTAATCTATAGGGTTACATGATGGGATCCGGCCAGGCACCTTTACTCGGGAACCAGTTTAATGCCTGGCTTTCAGCGGTACAAGTACACACATGATGGTAATGGTTAAGAATAATGATCAAACTGAAAAATAAAAAAAGCACATAAATGAAACAAGTATATATAAATGAATAAAAGCAAACGCGTTGCGTGTTGCGCCGTGTTCAACATGTGAATCGGTGAGAAGTATGCAGCTGAGTTTGAATGAAGTAACTGAGATAAATATATTAGATTTAAGGCAGGAATAATGAACGGTCGTAGAGATTGTTGGATGAATGGCTTATGTAATTGTAATAAAATCATGTAAATACTAATTAAATCTGCTACCTTGGCGGGTGGCTCCGCTTCCGTCTCGCGTACCCAGCCACACCTACACGCCCATATAGGACCACCCTGAAATGTTTAGTGTCCCATCCGGCTACGTTATTTGTTTGTCAAATATTAAGTCGGTTGGAGCGGCATAATCGTTATTGTTAGTCGTGCTGGCTTGATGCCAGGATCTGTTATGGACAGCGGACGGCAGCTGACTACGATTGTGTGACGTCCGGGTAAACAGTAAATGCGCCGGAAAGCATCACCTGTTTTGAGTTGGCCATTAGAATCCAACGGATGTTACATGATACCGGGGCTTACGGTAAACATCAGACCAATCACCCGAATTGAAATTGACCACGCCAATCAGGTAGCTCAGTCGATGTGACATTTCGGTCTGGTGAAGCACCAGATTTAGCTTTAATTGGTGGTATGAACCTGATGACGAAATATTGAATACAAGCTTTTTGGCTAGCTCCGTCTTTAACTTACGAGGATCGCGTTGGTTACACGTGAGTTTTGTCCGGCGACTGCGGGATAAGTTATATAGCTACAAAGCTCATCTACATTGAGGAAAATTTTGTTTACTCATTTGCTTCTCTAGTTCCTAACGAACTAAATGTTCTAGTGCGCCAGCGTCTTGTTCGATGCACCAATAAGTGCATGAAATAGCCATAAACAAGCCCTTTTCTCAGCTCTGACGCGCTGATGTCATCTGCCTAGACTTTACTAAAGCCCTCTACCGCCTAGATGATTGAATACTTCACAAGAGGCTGAATTTGTGCGGAACTGATGACCCGGTCTTTGGATTAATAGGAAACATCCTGTTTTAACGATGCTTTAAGATTCGTGTTAGGGGTTGATTTTCTGATCCCATGGACCTGGACTGCGGTGTCGCACAGAGATGGGTGTTGGGGTCACACCTATTCCTGGCCTACATAATTACGGCGCGCGTCATTGAGCCAGATTTCCTGCTTTTTGCCGATGATACCTATGTGGTGAGTGATCACTTGTCAAGACTATCATGGTGTGCCATTGAATGATCCAAGGCAAATCTAATTCTGTGTAACGCGGACAGGCGCCATACTGTACATGTATTCCACAAGCTCTCGTACGCATACAAGTTTAGAGACGATATGTTGCTAGTTGCATCACAAGAGCGCGATCATGGAGTGGTGATGCAAGGAGGCTTCGGCTGTTCGGCAGAGTCCTTGAAGGCGTCCAGAAACGCTAATGAACATGTTGATCCCTTGCGGAAGGTGTTCGGGTGGTTCGACCCCCTCCATCTTCCCTCAAATGCTCAATATGTACATAAGGCCCCATGTGGAGTGCGCGTTTCAGGCCTTGCGAACATGGTTAAAAGGCGATCTGGTTGAACTGGATACCGCATAGCGAAGGGCAACGAAAAATGTGAAGGGATTGTTCCACCTGCCCTACCATCTGCGACTAAGTATTTTAGGAGAGTACAGCAGAAGTTTCGCAGTCTACGGGGCGATGTCACTCTAGTGTACATAAACTTGATAAACCGGGGACACGCTTGCCGCCAACTCTTGAAGCTTAGCCGCAGCACAAACTTGTGGGGACACCATCTGAAACTGGTTACGCTATATACTCCGATAGAATGCCACAAGCGAACTACTTTTTCATCGAATTCGTCACCACTGGAAAGCTGTTTTGATTTTCGTCATTTCTGCGCCCACGCTAACGGATTAACAAAACACACTCGATGATACATCACACCATCTTCATTATCTGCTTTGATTTCTGTTCATTTAATGACAAAAGAACACAGACAAACATTGCGCTTTCCATCCGGCCTTCTTCGCAGAGCTTTCTGGAAGTTTGACCCTACAAACTTTCTAAAAATGCTTAGTGCGTACATGAGGCCGCACGCGGAATATGCTACTCAAGCGTGGAAATCCTGGGTCAAGCACCATCTCAACGCGATTGATACTGCACAACGTAGGGCAACGAACAGCGTCAGAGGTTTGACCAGTCTCCCCTACGCACTCAGGCTGAAGACTGTCAATTTATACAGTGGACGTTATCGGCGTCTAAGGGGTGATCTCATAATGGTGTACTAAATTATGGAAAACCCCAAACACCCATGCCATTCCCTTCTGATACTCAGTCGAAACACCCCGCTAAGAGGTCACAGTTTAAGCTGGTCACGAAGTACAACGGACTGAAATGTCGGCGAAAAATTTTCTCCTTTCGAGTGTCACAGCCTTGGAACGCCCCACCGGTACACGCAGTTAATGCTCCCATCCTATCCCTTTTCAAAAAACGCCTTGACGAAACGGTCACATTTACACTACGTGCTATATCCAATGACCGCCAGATGCTAGAACTAATACACAACAGACGGTGGATGGTGCCATAACCCTAATCGAGAATGAGTAGCACCAAACCCCTTGCACACAATTTGATAAACGCTACTACTATAGAAACTGGATTTCAGTATCCTGAGAACTGAGAATGCTGCACACGAGTAAGGGTAGTACTTAGTATTTTGTGGGCAAATTCTAATTGCTAACTACCTTTATATGGCAATGCAGTTACTTCTTCAATCGTCCGAACCGACGATTGCATTATACCTTGAATTACCTTTTGTCACCACGTCCACCCTACGGGATATGTCAAGTACCATCTTTTGTACCCCTTATAAATCATTGTTAATTGTTCTTCCCCCATACAATCGATATAAACGGATACATATGTGCATTAACGAATATAAAATGACTTAGTATTCTTACGTTTGGTACTATGAATACCACGGTGAATACCCCAATGTGAACCTAAATTTGCTGACAATTTTCTTTTTATTTTGAATTTTCACCATGATCTTCCTATGAAACCTGTTAAGCTTCAGCAATTTTGCCCCTATAAAACCACTGTTCCCACGATGTGTAACTAAACATAAGAAAAGTGCGCTCGCCTCTACACTGTCGGTGTTGTAGTAAGGACGCCCCTCAGATGCCGGTCTGTTTTTGATAGATAAGAAAAGAAGTCTTAATACGATTGCTTTAACCAAGCAGATGTGCAGATGGAATATTGTAGTTTCTGCTTACAGCAGTTCAACACTTGACGTCAATGGTCCATAACATGCTTCACCTAAGTTACAAATCTCGCGATTGTTGTACACACAGACAGTTCAATTTTATCGGTTGGCTCACTTTTATCCAATAACTTGCCAGCGTGGGCTGTTTCAGACTTCGTGCCTTGGACCTGAAGCATGGTGCAAAACTGGAGGCGGTAAGTTACAGTCTGCAGCCCATCCAATACGACGTTGCTTCAAGTTGCGGGGGCCGCCGTGGCTACATTGGACTATTAAATACGACCAACTGAAGTTTGAATAAATTATACCGACAAGCCGTTGAGGTGCCGACACCTTGGCACAGCTGGTAAGCTATTAAGTTTTACATTGTAATGGGCTGATTATGCGCAGTTTATGAATCTGCTGATAACCTGACTCCCCTTGTTCAGGGAGGTTACCTGCCTTTCTAGTTCAGGCTAGGAATAGCAAGTGGAACAAATACAAAACTATTGGTATATGTAACTCGCTTTTGTCGTTCATAAAGTCGCTCAACATTTTCATCGGATGCATACACTTGAGACGCGTTTAACTGATTAATCGTCGATTTTTCTTATATTGTAGTAATTTAAACGAGCCGGTTGCTTCTCCGGTACTTCTCTCCATTCGGAGTGGGATGGCTCGCGTCGGGAAAGGATTTCAAGTTGGGTTGTCTTGGACACCTGACCGCGATGGTCACGTTCCCTACAACGCGATCGACGCTGGCGGCGGAGTGTTTGTGGCTCGCATGCGACATTCTGGGGATCTGATTCCGGGAAAGGTGGTTCCACAGTATGGCAAAGCGTATTGTTCACACGGTGGTTGCGAGCATGAATATTTTGAATACGAAGTGTTGTGCAACACATCCGCCCCAAATACACGACCATGGTGGGTTACATTCACATTTTCTAGAAGCCAATAAATACAGTAACATAAGCAGTGCTGTTTCAGAGTTCTAGTTTGACTGGCTGACCTTGACTGTTCTATCACCAAGTTCAGCGAAATTCGCATTGCTTTCAACACGTCATAGATCTACTTGTGTTTTCAGGTTTTGTCTGATTGAGCTTGACAACGTATGTCTATAAATTAATATGCACTACGATTCTACGTACATGCAGCTACAAATGGGAGCATTCAAGTGATGGACATGTACCAAAAAAGTCAATCGTTGCAGGCCTCGCTGAAGACCAGTCGCCCTTGTACGTCGCACGTGTACAAATAGAGGGAGAATGGGTTGTTGGAAAGGTAACAGCCCCTATGATATTTGAAACGCTTTGTTTTCAAACAGCCACAGTGGAACTTATGCGGCGAAGCTGATTATTATCATTGTCTTTTCAGGTTCATCAGGGACATTCATGTGGATATTTCCCATACGGAGGCGAAGAGCATTCCAAGGAATCTTATGAAGTTTTGGTACTTGACAAATAAAGCGTCGTTGTCCGGTACGCTAATGAGTGCAATGCTAACAATCAAAATAAAAATCTTGTTTGTCATTGACCTACTTTTACCATGATGGGCATAGGGTAAAGGCAAGGTGCTTGTGAGATCTTTTATCAGCATTCCAAAAACGAATATTCACACATCTGATTAAACTTATTGGCGTCATCCGGATCCGGATTTGCCTGTCACTGTGGCCTCCAAGGGACGGCCACGGGACGCCTGCGCCTACAGAGAGACCATGGGTGGCTTGCGCTGCAACATCCATATCTCTATCCACACATCCCGTATCCAGTGTAAACCCAAAGGAATAAGACCCGGAAGCATGTGGATGGTAGTCACGTTTCAGCATTGGAGCCGGTTCACACTCCAGCATGCACGGCATCAGCATTCCTGTCTACCTATGTAGAGAATCGTGCTACCAGTGATGTACAAAGCAGTTTCTGGACCGTAGTTCGCTCCGCACGGGATGGAACCATGCTTTGAGCCAATAACGGCTACGATGGCTGGCGGCATCCGGTTTCGGATTTGCCTGTCACTGTGGACAGCCACAGGACTCCTGAGCCTACAGAGGGACCATGGGTGGCTTGCGCTGCACCACACACAGCTCCAACCACACCCCCATATCCAGTGTAAACCCGAAGGAATAAGACCGGGAGGCATGCAGATGGGAGCCACGTTTCATCAACGGAGCCGGCCCACACTCCTTCAAAAACAACCACAAGCACGCTGTAGTTGGGGAATCAAGCGCACACAAGGCGGTGGCTGGACCGTAGTCCGCTCCACACTGAGTGCATGAAACCACTCTTCGAGCTTAGCATGGCCACAAGGACGTGCACCCCGTCCCCTTCAGCAAATACCAACTATCTCCTAGAGACAGTGTGGACGAGGTAGTGGGTAATAGACACCTTGTCAACATGCACATCAAGAGCAGCCGCACCAGGGATATCAAGCAAAAGCCAATCATTTTAAACGAAGGCTATGATGACCGTCATACTAACTGACATTTCAGTGAACAGCAGGTTAGTGTGACGCACAGCCAAAAGATTTATGAAATATGTGGATAAACGGAGCATTAGATAGCTCATGCTTTGTGATAATGCTTGCTTAGTTAAGCACTAGAAAAATAACAGCAAGGGGAGACACTCAGTCTAAATGTGCCAATTATCTTAACTGCGAATAGCCACAAGATCAATGCACACGGACAAGTGCAATAGGTGTCTTGTGTCTCATCACTCCCAACTCGCTCCCGACCAATAGGTTAGTATGACCTAAAAAGAGTTGGGCCAACAGACGGGTGCTCGGGAACCGCACTTCTTCCCAATCCGTATCCCACGCTAAAAATGCGCCTAGAACTCATAAAGAAGCGATACGGAGTGGCGGAACCAGGAATCAGGTGGTACACGGTACTAAAATGTTCTACATACAAGTTAAGGAACCAGTGTCTGACTGTCGATCGTGTTCCACTACCTTTGGATTCCCACTAGGGTAAATTAGGCGAAGGTTAGGCCGTAGTCAGTTTCATGTTTAAACATAACGGTGCACTGCACATTCAACTAGAGAGGTTGGCAAAATCTTGTGAAAGAAAGTAACAAGCCTCCTGGAGTAGACGATCAAGACGTTGCTTACGCAGAGGAAGCAGTTTTGTCAACACATAGTGTCCACAAATTTACCTACAAAGACTACTTAATAGTGTGCCATCCCACTCGTTGTCCCCAACCATGCTCCACCTGGTCTTTCTTCTTTCATTCCCTAACGTATGTTGAATATAATTGGAAAAACTAACCATTCAAACACCACAAAAGAGATGCATGTGAGTTGACTGCAACGCATTGGTGCAGTTAGCACTAATGTCAGTCGACTACATTTCTGATTCTTTTAGCTGCCTAGGTCGCAGTACTGTTTTTACCATATACTTCCACTTTCCACGTAGGATGTTGTTGAAAAGTGTTCACTTCAAATTTCTTCTACGTAATGACAAGTGAGTAAATTAGTTCTCGGCTGAGTAACAGTATTGGAATAACATTGACTTTTGCGATGGGTAAGACATGAAAGTACAGAAGTTTTAGTTCAAAAATCTATTTAAAGCATTTCTCATTAAGCATGTGCAGTGTGGCAATATAAAAGTTGTGCTTTACCAGACCAAGTTGAAAGTATATATGAAAGAACAAAATGGGTGGTGAGATGGGAGTTTGATTTATTGATCGGATCGGCTGATTCACTGTGAGAAACATCGTAACGCTAGCCCCGCGATAGAAACCATTCAGTGTGGTTGCTGAGTAAATAGAAATGAACGAGCTTTTCTTATTTAAGTACACAATCAGTAGCAGCAATACCGAGCAGCACCCGTAAGCTATTTGCGTCGATGTACAAAACACGTTTGCAGGTTTTAAAATACCTAGTGATACTGGAGGAACGAGATAGAGTCAAGTACTTTGGTTACTTAGCCGGAGGATCTGAGGCTAAAATGAGGCGTAAATATTTCCTGAAATAAATTAAATAAGTTATCTAGCGTTGGATAATTGTGTTCTTTCTGGGAAACGGATAACATTTGTGTGGACTGTACCTCACAGGACCACTGGGTTGAGATCGATAGTCACTCTGTATAACTGCTGTTGCACCTACTCTGAACTGATCAGATGAGTTAACTAACATACTAGTAGACACGAAACAAAATGTTTGGAATCAGCTGAAAAAGCGCTAGTTTGAACTATGTAAGACCTTCTCGGGTTGTTATGTAATCGTCGTATGCCAAAAGGGAAGGGGCCACAACTGATTACCGCAAGCTGTAAATGTGAAAATATCCATGCAGTGATACGCGTTTCTCTCAACAGCAATGTTGTGAAGCTAAGGTTTGTGTTTCTGACGGTCAATTACCACCACATTGTCAAGCGGTTCGTAAAACGATAAAGGCAATAAAATTTTGCTCTGGGCAATATGCCTTCGCTTGATCTTATCAGTCTATGGGCAATCTAATACTAATACTAAAAGGCGTTTTCCTAAAGGGACGAAACATTGCCTCTGTACTAGATCAGATGTGCAATTTGATCAGAGGTGTTTCTCTTTTAAGCGGTGAAATCCCTGATTATTACAACTATCAATACAATATAAACTAGTAGTGGTCTGAGAGGTATGAGCAATATGCAGCACATTACGGCATGAGAAACCGCATTGAAAATCAACTCATAGACAAGTTACAGACAAGTTCCAAGTGCAGAGCACACTGCCGTACACATCAGAGACAATAGAAGCTGACGGTTATTAGTAATCCCACAGTTAACGTCTGGCTTCCAAGCAAACTGGGTGGCAGCATACATACGCAGAAGCAACACCGACCAAGATTCCGCACGATGTGAGCGCGAATTAGAAAAAGGGTATTCTAGTCTTTATTTTGTTAGTTTGAAACAAAATGTATATAGAATGTTGTGATAAAATTGAATACGAGAACGAAAAACGGAGGCGCATTAATAACCACTACAATTGGGCGCCTATCCCTTCAACAGCTCACCTTCTAGGTGGCTGATTCAAGGGCGTGTGGGTAATTGGATGGAATGCGAAACACCAGTCAGCCGATGTTTCGATACTTGCAAGTAGCAGAGGAATTTATTGGACCTTTTTTGAACATTCGTCGCAGTTGGACTCAAGCAGACAGCCACCACACATACAAGTAAGCGCTGGACGGCCATTTCGTCCTAATGGGATTCCTCAGTAGCCCGCACCCCCCAAATCCTGCCAAATTTGAACTCACGACGTTACTTCTGAGAACCTGAGACATATGCCACAGTTTTGATACCGCTTATTTTATGGATCTTTTCCTAAATGTTACTTACACATAAACCTACAGATTGCACGCCGCAGGTGGAACGTTGTGGGCGACCAAGTGACAGAGACCAACATTATTCGCCTTACTTTTATCAATCACTCGACCACCCGGATCATCGTATCTTTCTTCATAGGTTTGAAAGTCGCGGATTGGAAGATATTGATTTGGGTAGATCGGCAGCAGCAGCGACAGTCGCAATTTAAAGTTCGATCTGCAATATCCGACCCAATTCATATAGTTTTTGGATCACATCTATTATTTGTGTTCCTTAATTACGTTATATGTCTGATTGCCTTGGACCCCCTAATAATTTTTGTGATGATGTTATTTTGTGCCGGGGAATCGCCGATCAAGAATATCAAGTTAAACTTTATTAATAACCTTTACATGTTAGATACAAAATGGCCGTGCGTCGTCGTGAGATGTTGCGAAGAATGGAAGGCTTGTGTCCTCATTGATGTATTTAGATGCCCCAACTAATTACTAACGGAAGAGCAGAAGAAACTTCAACGACGGCTGCGCGGTGCTGGATGGTCACAGTGAACGATTTGAAGTTGGTATAGCCGATTCGCTGCTGGAAGTACTTTGAATGGTAGTCAATACAGTTGATAAAAGTGTTAGCTGACTTGTTGAAACGTCCTACCAGTGCTTACACCACATATATACCTATGTTTGGTATGTATATTGTCACTACAATTTAGCCGAAACCTGGACCACATGCATATATGAACATTTTACAATTGACCCAGTTTAATTCTTCCGCATCAGTCACCAGAGGAACAGCTATTAAATGCTTGGGGACCAATTTTTGTATCCGAAAACCCAAGGGCGTGACCTTGGATTGCTAATCCAGGCTGACCAAAGTCGCTTAAAACAATCTGAGAAAATGTTAAAGGCTCGGAACCAACACCTTGGTCTTATGTAGAAAGTATGCAGGACGTGTGATCCTTCTGCCTACCTCAAATGTGATCTCATATGGGATGCATCATGCTCGCCTGTCAGATCTGGCACATATAAGATCCAGCAGCTTTTCAGACTCCACAATGAGGAGCCACAAGGCACATAAAGGATCTTTTAACTTTCCATATTAATTTAGTTCCAGAGGACCGTCATATGGCTCAGCAGTCAGTCTCAGGATTTATAAGGAGACCTACTAAAGATCTGCCACGTTCTTAGTAAAGACAACCACGTTTCAGCAACCTACTGTAACTTAGTCAGAGCACGAATCTGAG